AGCCAGCGCGTACTGTTGAATTGATTCTTTCAATCAGAAGTTTCATAGGATTTGTAGAATAGGTTTTATTTCCTTTTGGACAGAAATGTATCCATTTTGGTCTTTTCATAAGGAAATGCTTTAAAGTCCAGCATTGCATCAGGTTGTATATTAGCATTATGTAATCATTTTCCTACTTCTTACACACAATCAATAAAAACTAAGCTACTTAGGAACAGGAAAACCCCTTTCAAATTGCAGTCTGAAGTGTCTAGTCTATTGTTCCTGCATCACCTTTACAGAGAAATGTAGAAGATTTGAAAAGTGAAGTTTGAAGACAATTTTTAAAGCAATTTCAATGGTTTTATTTCCTGAAGAAGTGTTTTTGTGTTTCTGTTTAAATATAAGCTTTAAGATTGTTAAGTAAGGTCACTTTTCTTCTAAATTTGTTAACCTATCTTTTCCATTTTTGCTTGGCAAAAAAATACTTAAATATCCAGTCTGAAAGGCAGAGATGAAAATGTACATTCTGCAGTATTTTTCAGTCTATTTGAGGATCAGGTCACTTTTTTCACCTTGCTTTTAGCAAGAGCAATGGCAAAACTGACTACTCTCAAAGAACACAAAATAAAATCTAATTTATTCCTACAAATTATTTCTGCTTATGCTAATCTCAAGTATTTAGTTACATCTAGAGCAGGGCCTAACTCTGAAACAGATGCCTGACGATTATTTTTAAAGCATTTATATATACTAGGAAAGTGTAATGGATTTCGTATGAAAACAGATGTTTGTGGATAAATAAGCCTTTTTGTTTGTTTACACATATTTCACAAAACAATGCGTTTAATCTGTTCTTAAAACATTGAGCGTGAAAAATTGAGAGGTTGGGACAAAAGGATTTGCTGGGCCTTTTGTCTGAAAATCACCTAGGTTTGCTTGTCTGTTCAGGGGGCTGCTTAGCATTTAGGAGGGGGAAAGCTATTCTTTAGTTCAGGTATGAAAATGTGCAATACTTTATATCAATTATTTGGCTGATTGCTGAAAGTGCGTTGGAGTGAGGGGGCATTGGCTAGTTGTGGCCTTCACTAATGGGAACATTTCAGAGTGTGGATGAGTAATTAAAGTATAGAATGCGGAAAATTAGGCCAAAATTGAATAGAAATGAATAAGTATGTGTTCTGTTGTGCAGATGTTGGAAACTGATTATTTTGGATACCTCTTTCTATCTACATCTTACTTGGTTACCATGTAAAAATCAGTCATACACCATGTAGATTGTTTCTCTTCCCATTGCCTTTTCTGTTTTTATGTTGTGATGTATCTGTATAGGTAGTAATTTAGCAAAATATCCTGTCTGCCAGGTGTGGGAACTAGCTGATTGTATTGTAATACCAGATCATTACTTAATTCATATGCAACCTAGCCTAGCACATGGAAAGCATTATAAATCTATTTACAGTGTGGCTGGTCTGATGATAACATTGTATTAAATTCCCAGGTGAGGCAATTTAAGCAATTGCTTTGCCATGTGTAGGCCATGGAAATTAACTTCTCATATGCTTTAGTAATAGACGAACTTCATTGGTATGCTCAGATTAGTAGTATAGCAGAATTCTTACAGTCTGGTTACATGTACCCTACTTCACATGTAGAATCATACAGGGGGGTGGTACTGCAGATCACAGATCTTAATTAGTTTAAGCTGAGTTAATTCATTTCAATTCTAATTTAGCTGGGCTTGCCCATGAACACATTCAGTTCTATTGGGAAATGTTAAGGCTTGGGTCAAGTAGACAGATTGTTTAAAGCCAAATTGCCAGACAGAACTGAGCAAGTGTATCTGTTTGAACAGGGCTTTAAGGAAATCACCCAATCAGTATGCAAAAATCCTGTTCATAAACCAGGAGAGATCTGCCTAGAATCAGAAATTCTTCCTTGTCAGAAGGTCTGGGTACTGTAGTACATTTAAAACAGCCCCTGAAACTTTCTCTGTCTTGAAGTTCTTCTGGAAAGTATCTTAACCCTTTTGTGTTGCTTCGTGTTCGTGTGCATGCTACATTTGAATGCAAACACGTACACTGAGTTAAAAACACTTGTGTGCTTAGACTTTTTGTCTATCTGTATATGGGAAAATATAAAATACAAGGAAAACTTCTCTATATGACAGACAAAAAACTGCACACAGAACCTCTTAAACCTATATTGAGCTGCCCAGAAGTGCCTTGGATTACAAACTCTGTAAATCTTCTGTCTTTTCTAGAAACATACATATAAAGTACCAGTAGACAGTGGTAACTGACAACTAAGACTAAAAATGTTGACAATTTCTTGATTTGCCTGGTTAGCTTATGTATAGAAGTCATTAACTATTTATAAAATGCATTATGAATTGGGTTCCTTCAAACTGTAGCAGTGTGTGACATTTCCAGCTCAAACTATCATTCTTGTATTTGGCTAAAGTACTTATTTATAAACAGCTAACAGTTATGAACTAAAAAAAAAAAAAAAAAATTTAAAAAATTATTTAATAATTTAGTTCAGACAAGCCAAACTAATTTTTATAGCCTCATTTCAAAGTGTTACCCAATATTACTTTAATAAAAATAAGAATAGTAATTCAAGATATTGATATTTTGGACAAATCCTGAAAGAACAAATGAACACTTTAGTTCAAAGGCCCTTCCTTTTATATTATTGATTCATTTGCTAGTGAAACTGTGATCAAAAGTAGTATCAAATTATTTATTGATTATGGCAAAGAGTTATACTTAATTGTAGTCAAAGGGTTATTTCTTTTAATATAATTGCTGATTTTCAGATCATGACAGATTATTGCAATAAAAGAACAATGATACAAATATATTTATTAAGTTCAGCAGTGATCATATAAAGGATTATAAAGGGCCTCTAAAAATTGTATTGCTATTAACATTTTATTTCTTTCCCATGAAGAATATTATTTTTTCTTTCTTCTATTCAGGTTCTTATGAATGAGAATATCAGCCAGTTAAATCTTTCAAATAAATGATGTGTAACCAAGGACCATCTCAGTCTCTACATATAATTAGGCAACTTGTTCACTGGAGAACAAGCTCATGAAGCATCATGCTCCTCATCTCAGTCTAATAATGATAAATACATTCAACACTAACAGAATCAATGGGGCTGAGTAATTTTGTGAAATTGGGAGAGACTGTACAGTTGAACTCCTAGACCTCAAATAGGAAGATTGAATCTTAATCAGAAAAGAAGATTAGATGTTTATTGGTATATATTTGTAATTTCCTTCCTTGTTTGATGTGTATCAAATAAAAATAGGGAAATAATATAATTGAGCAATCTATGCCAATTTGTTGGCTTTTTGGTGAAAAGAGAGAAAAACAAAACCTATCTCCATATGATATTCTTGCATACTGTGGAGTGGTTTAGTCCCCCATAGTGATGAAATGAATAATTTAAACAGGCAGCTCTGATACCACAGCCTGTTTAAAGGTTCTCATTTCCTTTAATGCTGTAGACTACTTTAGCTTGGTTAGTATGAAACTGTGACAGCTGAGATCTCCAAAAGATTTGGCACAATTCAGTTCTTGTAGTAGGTCCATGATATGCTTTGTCCTTGCTACGTACATCTGTAGCTTTAGTATATAACCTAGATCTGAACACTAGCAATTGAATCACATATTTGTGAGCCTTATAACCATGATGATGGTAATAAAGAGTGAACTACACAGAATTAAAAGGTAAAATGTGTTGCTCTGAGATGACCAATACAAGTCTTACTCCACTGCTAGGTTCCTAGCATAAGGGGGGTGACCCACTTCCAGACTTCTTTGTCACAAAGCTAATGAATTTCCTTGTGTTCAGTATAATTTCTAGTGGTTCGTTTCCTATGCCTTAGTCCCAAGCACATTTTTTGGCATGATTGTCCAATTAGGGAAGGTTTGAGGAGGGATTTGGTTTTGCTGAGTTCCTACTGGTAGCGATTACCATGGCGGAGTGTGAGGGAAGCTCCCATCAATAAAGGAAGGCCTTTATGTTAAAATGTTAAAAATCTTTTCTCTCTTTTAATGGTTAGTGTAGGAATATTAATTAAAAGCCTGTTATTTAGCTGACAGAGAAGTTGAAAGCTGGGCCAGTATTCTCTTTATGGACTCCCCCTTTGTTCCACTGAATGCTGTGCTACCTTGGTAATCTTCAGACATTTGCTTTCCATTGCTCGGCATTTGATCTAGTTTAGAATCAATGTGATGATCAGTTCATGAGCAAACCTGGTGCTCATAAGCTGTGAATAATGACTGTCTGTCATAGTAATCTAATGAATGACTCTCAGTTTTGTGGTGTTTCCATGAAATGCTGTAAACCAGTGTTTCCTTGTTCTGTCATTTTCTCTACTTTCTTTTGCCCTTTGGTTTCTTGTCCTTTCCCAGTAGGCCTTTGTAGCCTTAGCATCATAGAAAACACCTGTTAATTTTCTTCATCTTCAAGTTCAACCGGTTTTGTCAAATGTGTGTTGTTCGGGTATTGTTTTTTGTTTTGGATTTGGTGGGGTTTTGGGGGGGGGGTTTAATATGAGAAAAGCTCAGTCTTCGTTTCCTATTTAATGGCACCACTGGAGTGTTATGCTGAGTTCTGTATCCAGCTAGCAAGTGTTCTTCAGAAAAATGCATTTGGTTCCTACACATGCATTTCTTCAGTGCTTCTGGTGCTAGTGTATATTGCCTCTCCTGGTTCCCTGATTATCTGAACTGGGATCTCACATTATGTATCTTGAGCTTCACTGAAGCTGCTTTCTTTGCTGAAATGTTGAGGATGTTACTGCCTTAGGAATGCTTAGGTTTTGCTGTGCAGATTTGTCAAAATACAGCAGTTGAAGAACTTTTTAATAACTTTTACTTGCAGATTTATTTTTTTATCAAATAGGTATCCATTAGGGGGCTCTCGAGGTTTAAGATGATCAGCCTTGATACCAATGGCTTCGGAGCTTTACTTCCTAACCCTTTTTTCTTTTTGTTTTACAGAAAAGGTCACGAATCGCCTACAGTGATGAGGTGCGGAATGAGCTCCTAGGGGATGACGGGAATTCCTCAGAGAACCAGGTAGGATGCTAATCAAGAAGCCCTAGTGGGTGGCTGGAGGGTGAAGGAGGTCACTGCCACACTGGGCTTCTCAAGCTGCTCCTTAACAGCATTAACAACAACTCATGTGGAAGCGATACTGTTTAATGCAAAGCTGGGGTCTTAATCAACTTCAAAATGTTTCTTGGAGATCTTACATTTAACCCTTTAACTTGTGATCACTGTCTGCTATCTTAAAAAAAATCTTTTCTTCTCTTTTCTTTATTATTTAGTACTTAAGAAATAACTTGAAACGCGCTGTTTGCCGACAAAGCCAAGGTCTTCACCTCAAACACATGTAAAAGGAATAAAAAAAGTACATAATGCAGCTTTGATAATAATGCAGTATAATTAAATCAACACTGGCAGGCAAAACAAATGAAAGTGCGCTCTCAGAATTAGGCAGTACCCCACTCACTTTCCTTGTGTGATTCCTTCCCTAAACAGATTTTCTCTCCTTGTACCAAAACCATGAGTTGTACTAATAAGTGCACGCTTTCATAATGCATGTTGTACTAGAATGCAGACTGCTATCCATCTCTATTAATGAAGGAAAGCTTGATAATCCTGAGGCTTTTTAAAAATCTTGTACCTGTATTTTTGTTCTGGACACTATAGTGAGGGTCCTTCTAGACCACTGAAAATTTTAAAGCCGACATTATATTTAGGGGACTTTGACCTACCTGTTAATAATTCTTTTGGCGGTGAAACTTGTTTGACAAGCTCTGTCTGAAAGCATAATGTTTCTTTACTTTTTGAAAATCATGTCAGCTGTAATCGAAGTTGTGCATTTTGAGTTAGAAGTTAGTTGAAAGTTTTCTTATATATCAGAATTTCTCTTCTGACCAGATAGAATTTAAATTATTTTGTTAATGAAACTGAAAATTGCTTAAATGTTTACTTGATAAATGCAATACTAAATAAGCAAATGGATCAGAACCATGTTCTGAAATTTTTAGCACCTTCTACCCTCAATATAAGTTCAGTTCCACTAAGGATAGAAAAAAAGAAAAACTTGGAGACTTGTCCCAGTACAATGGATTTTAAAACACAGACCCCTTAAGCCATAACCTTACACAGTATTTTAAATGTGCTATATAAGTTTTAAACTCTGTAGTATACTTTAATACATACATTAATGAAATTATACATAGGACACAATTTATCTGTAGGTATGACTGTAGAGTATAGCAGCTCTAACATCTATGTGAAGAGTTAAATTTACAAGATACTAATTTTCATATGTATGTATTATAGCAAGGAGAGATTTCAAAATTTGAATAAAGAGGGATTTTTATCCCTAAATAATGAATTTATGGAAAGAAGTTTTACAGTCTGCATGTCATGATTGTAAACTCGGTCCTGTGAAAGTTGTAAGATTCTTATTTTATTTCTTTTAAGGTGCTTCTATTTCTGCATTTCAAGAAAAAAATGTGTAAATTTAGACATAAAAGGGCAATTGTGATAAGAAGCTTTACTTATAACAGAATATCTTATGTGTAAGGATGAGATAAAATATTTTACTTTCACTTTTAAAGGAATGGTTAAATAACTGGTTCGCATGTGCACTTTTTGCAAGTTAGGATCTTTTTTCTAAACCTGGTGGAAGAATTATGGTCTCATCTCAAGTAACCGAATGGTACCTTCAACCATTTATCAACACAAGTTTTTTCTTTCAAATGACCACTCCTTAAATGGAGGAAAATTTTGGCTAGTAAAGGAATTTTATGTAGTCTTTTAGGTAATCAAAATCCTTTTCTTTAACCCAGCTTGAACTTATTAGCCCTATACCTTTGAATATTCTGAATTTCTTTCTTTTCTTCCTTGAAAAATGTTATGAAATATCACCATAGAGAAGCCACCTAACTTCTTTTAAATATGTGAATGCCAGTATTTTAAATAATATTACTTATCCAGTATTTATCCAATATTCAATATCACAATCTCTTTTTCTTATGAAATATCATTATTTATATTTGTACTTATCTTATATGCATGTAGTTATGGGTACAAACAGTTAGTGAAAAAACTTCACTTTGATGTTGAGCTTATGTGCAACTTTCAAAATCTGGGGTAAGGTTTGGGTACTTACCCTACTGAACATGTTATATTGATGTATTTCACTCAGTAACCTCAGATGTAATATACTTTCACTCCTGTAGATTGTTATATCAATAGAAAACTTGGACTAGATGATGAAAGGACACCAAAGTAGAACTTACAGTCATATAAAATATTTGAAGGTGTTTCAAATTCTTGCTTTCATTTTGTCTAATGGAAATAATTATAGTTAGATGGACTGACCCTCATCCTAATATTGTAGGACTTTTAGTTCTCAGTCAGTTTGGATTAGGTTAAATCAGTTAAATTGGAAAATGGTGGGTTTGGTTTCCCCAGTTCAGTCACCAAACTTTGAAAGGGAAGAGGAGGGATTCCTCTTCTGACAGAGGAGCTGTTGAAAAAGGAATTGCTCCTGTACCAATCCACAAATGTTGTTAAAAGCTGACAGTAGAAATGCTGAATATCTGGTTAGACTGGGGTGTTATCCAAGGGAAACTAGAGATATGAGCTGCATGTTTTAGGTATGGTCTTTGTCATCATGGTAAACATTTGTGTAATGTTTTTGGTGGAGTGAGAGGGGAAAAGGAAGTCAATGTATATTGACTGATATGACCATATTAAGTATCTAGAAATAAATGGGGCACTTTTGGAAAAATGAGAAAGTTGGGTCTTTTCTTTATTCAACTTCTGTTTTTTCAGTTGAGTTTCAAAGGTACAGTTACAGCAAACCACAGCCAAGTTGTAAACTGTAATGAATAGGGTCATAGTCACAAGTTTCCAGTTGTTCTCCCAAGAAGAAAGATTGAAGTACAAAGAACAGGTTGAAGAATTAGCAAATGATGATTTATCTTTTGACTTCTTAGTTTTTCCAGAATGTCTCCCATAAATAGCAGTCATCATGTGTAGATGACAACAACACAGTGGTTGGATACTGGAATACAGTTGCCTTATACTGATTATACCAAAATTAAACTAATTTTACCAGATAAAGCATATAGAAACTACCTGTAAGTAGTTGTAAGAATTATACAATTCTGCTATTCAAAGTTTCTTTTGAAATAGATGCATCTTTGTTTAATGAGATAGGTAGTGATATAGTGCTCTTAGTGCACTTAGAGTTTAGTAAAGTCACTGCTTAGTATACAACAATGTCTTCTTAATTTGAATCATGTGTAGTCAGATGACGCACATACAGAGGTTGAGAATCAGGAGACATCCCTTCTTACATGAAAAAAACCCCACCGCACAACCCCAAACCCAAAAACCTACTGTGTGCATGGGTTGTTATTTATTTTGCAGGTGTGGTCTTTAATGGGCTCTGTTGTTTTCAAGTCCTGTCATTCTGGCCACCAATGTTTATTAAATCCCTTGAAAGTTTTGAGTTTGTCAGTGCAATGATACACTACTTAAAGTTCTGTCTTCACTTTAATAATAATAGAACTGGTTCACATGGCAATTTGTATGTTTTTTACAAGGTATATGTTGGGTTAAATCAGAAATCCTTCTTGACCAAAATAATGTCAGGTACGGTATTTACCAACTTTCTTGAAATATGATAATGTTCCTTTCCCTTTCGCAACTATGTTCATTAGTAAGTTTAAATAAATTCGCATTAGGTTAAACTGTGTGTCTGTATACACATACATTGTATATGTGGTTTGTGGTGAACAAATATTTTTGTGGCTACTTAATTTCTGACTACAAAGTTGTGATAATATTAGATTTGGGCTTGCTGTGCATAAAGTGTGTCAAACTTCAGCTACAGACCAGGGGGTGAAGTTGGTCAATTTAATTCCCCAAGATCTAAAGAAGGTCGGTATCATTTCATATAGCCCTGGCAGAGCAGATCATTACCAGACACAAATCTGTTCGTTACATGCCGAGGGTTTATAGCAAAATAAATAGACTGTCATCATAAGTTCAGAAAATTGTGTGTTCGACCCACGATAATGTGTAAAGGGCGTTTAATAGAGTTCAGCGTTTATTCGTTATCTATATGCGGACAGAGACGGCGGTAGCGTTATCAGCTTTTTTAAAAAAATTCGGTAGTTTTCTATGTCACGTGATGTGCCTCACAGACACACACACACGCGCGCGCGCGCACACACACACACACACACACAAACCCCATCTCGCTCCCTTGCTCTCTGTGGTGCAGTTTTGATTTTAGTCACAGCAGAAGGCTTAGCCACCAGAGATTCCACTGGTTCAAACCAGCGTAAACCAGATTTATTTTTTTTTTTTAGCCTACAAAGGAACAGATTACCTCTTGTATCGAATTCTGTATTGAAAAAAAAAAAAATCTTTGTTTCAAAAATATGCTGATTATCATAACCTAAAATGGTGGCTGCACACGGCTTAATGTTGTTTACAGTTGAGCAGTGAGCATAATAAAAATAATGTTTCAAAATAGAAAAGTAAAGGTAACACATTTTCATCAAGAGCATTGTTAAATGGGGGAAAAATACATCTTTTGTTAATTTGAATGAATATCTTTCAGCCAATGTTAAAAAAAAAAACCCTCTCCCATTACTTAGCTTAGCTGCAAATCCCATGCAGAGCTTAAAATCAGCCATGCAGCACAAACAAGATAGAACATTTTTGTTTGGGACCTATTGAAAAAACAAATGTGCAGCATTTTAAAACTCTCATTGATTATAGCAGGGTGGCATGCCCAAGCGGGCTCTATTGCGAGAGAGTAGTTTTAAACTTTGGCCCTTTAAGTATCATAGTCAACTGAAGAATGGTGGCCTCAGAAAGAAAAGATATCTGTGTGATCAACTCCCAGATAGTCTCTTTCTAAAGAGCCTTAATGTTTGCCTTTTTGGGGAAAAAAAGGGGGGGAAGATCTGGAAAAAGAGACCAATTTATGATAGGCCAAGCACTTGAATTTAAGCTCCGGTTTGGCGGACAATGCAGTTTTCTTTATACCAAATTCTAGCAAAGTTCCTTTAGCTACGTACTGAAGAGCCGTTTCAGTTTAAGTCCATGTGGTAGTAGCCTTCCTAATTCCATCTCGTTAGAGCCTCGTTGTCTGTTTTGGTAACAGGGTGAGGTGTATGTTCAGTTTTAGATGAGCCATATGAAACAATAGAGAATAATGGAGGTTCTTTTGTTTCCTTCATGCTGGTGAGACTTTAATAGTAGTAAACATTCTCAGCTTACACACGTGTTGAAAATTAGTGTTATGAAACTGTAGGTGAAGTATCAGCATAAACTGAGATAATGATGTAGCTGTTGTAATTTCGAATTCAGCTGGAATCGGTGAGAGAACTGTAATTTTTTATAAAGAGCCACTCTTATGCAGACATTTGTTGTGAGTAATTATATATTTTGTTCCAGTACAAATAATTTATCTATCTCTCTAAGGGAAGAGAATATTACAACATAGCTTGATAATGAGACTGGGGTTTTATTTAGTTTTATAGTAAACCTGCCAGAGCTTAATAATCTTAGATTGTGTTGATTTACAAGCATAAATTGATAAATATAAATGTATATACTATATAAGTATACACACACACACACTATGTGTGTGTGTATATATATATCGACACTATGTAGTGGTCTAGGATTAAGAACCTGGAATGGGTCTTTTCTGAGGGAAATGTTTCATGTTGTTCCCTATGCCTTTGTCTATTTTTAAATAAGCTATGCAATAAATCATCATTCTGAGCCATTTAACTAAGCTGCTTCATTTTTTTTACCTGCAAAAAGCCCTCTATATGAGGTTCAATAATAAAATTAGATAATATAGTTACAGTAGAACTCAAGTATATAAAAATTGAAATACTGGTTACATGCTATAAAGACACAGTCATCTATTAATAAGTTAGATCTGCTAGTAAAATAAGAAATCAGTTGTCACAACTAAAATATACAGAAAACATTCTGAAAACTTGTATATACAAAACCACTTCAGCTGTACAATCTTCGAAGAGAGGAATAGTAAACTTGTTTTTTTTCTTTATAATATAGACTTCTATGAAGTCATTCCCCTTTATTTCATGATGGTGTCTTAGATGTGGTTTAAAAGAGAATTTCACACTATTCTCTTTGTTTAATGTGACAGTGTGAGAAAGTGATCTTTATTCGTTCAAAAAACTCTGCATGTAGTCTATGTTTAGGTTCTTTTAATGTGTTTGTCTGTGATTTTTAAATGCTAAACATGTAAACAGATAAATTGTCAATGTTAATTCTGTATCCTGTCACACAACTGATCTTTCTTTCCTGCCATTTCTTTCCTTTTTATCTTTTTTGTGCGTTCATGTTGCAGTTGATAAAATTACGTGAAGAGGTGAGTACTTTCTTGCTTTTTGTTGTCTAGCTTTCCCTTTAAAGCTGAGTTTCTAAATCTGAAGTAGATCTTTTTGTTCATTGTTGCAGGGAAATCTACACAAAGCAAAAATATTGATTACATTGCTTTAAAATATTCACTCTTGTGCCTCTTTTTCCCTAATAATTGTATACTTACATAGGAATCTCTAGATCAAACCTTAGAAATTAACATTCTTTGATAGTGGAAATTTTTTTAAAGGCACTAGAAAAAGAAGGAAAAAAAAAAAACAAACTAGCATTTGATCTCTGCTAGAATACCATGATCAAATCAGGTACAGTAATAATCGTGTTCGCATCACAAAATCTTTGATACACATTTATATACTGGTATTGAAAGTGAAAGCATTGCTTTGGCAAAAAACTGTGCTGAAACACTGTAAAAATTACACAGTATTTCACAATGTTTTGAGGTTGGTGTGAGGTATTCAAGTAGCTTATGTATTATATTGGATATTGTATACCCACTGAAAATACAGTACAGGTAGACCTACGCACACATATCAATATTTATTATTTATTTGTGAGTGCTGTAGATCTGTAGGTGTAACACTAGAGATCAGTATTCCAGAACACCTTTCTTCCAGTTATAAAATGACTCATAAATATTTAGAGAGAGAAGCCTGTTTTAATGGTCAGTTCCTCAAATGTTTCAGTATATTTTCTGAAATTAATCTCCTCTGTTACTTACTGCTGTAGCAAAGCAGGTATCTGAACTGCTTTTTTTTATTATATTCCAATAGCTGCCAAAAAGGAGGTCTCAGTAAAGTCAAGATTACTTATAGGTCAGATTTCTGAAGGGTTTCGTACAGAGAATTTGAACCAGTGAAGTATTTGAATAAATATATTTAGAAGCACGAGTATTTTAACATCACATATTTGTCTGGTATCTTCTTTTTGAAATGTGTTCCCAGACATATCAGTAATGAATACTGAGCTCTGCAGGAAAGGATTTGTAAGTTTTAGAAATGGTGATGACAAAGAATTGTAAAGTAACCAGATTAAGGACAATTACAGAGAATTCTTAAAAACAGGAAGATATCTGTGATATAAAGATTCTTTCACTCGTTCCTTGAATACTTTATTTTTCCCTCTTCTTGTGGAGCTGATATTAATATGTTAAAGCAACAGAGTAAAACAGTTAACAAAAAAAAATTAAACAAAATAAACATGTAACCACATGAAAGCCCTCCCACCACTGCTGAGCTCCCCTCCCCAATAGTTCCAGTATTTAAACAGATGACAATATTGTTGCAAGGGTTTGTATAGCCTGCTTTCGGAGATTTTTCAGAACAAGGTTCATTTGCTCATCCCTTTAACAACATCTGCACGTCTGCTCCTGTGCTTTTGTAAAAGAATGTAGTGGGATAATTTTTGCTTGCAAACATATATTACGGCTTTATAAGCATAAAGATTCCTAATTTGTGAATTTACTCTGAAAATTTAATCATATATAAAGAACAAAGCTGCTACTTAACTGCTTTTCTTTTTGAAATAACTATGAAGGCAAATAAAATTCAGGATGTTATTGCAAAGAGCTGCAACTTGGGAGCTATGCTGAACTCAGTCATATCTTTTGGAGCTTATAAATCCTCTTTGTTAGCCACCTAAAAAATTTTGACATTGCTCCTGGTAATTTTCTTTTTTACTTTTCCTTGCTAGTCTCATAAGTTACTTTTTCCTCTCTCTGCATATTGTGAGAGCAGCAGCAAATAGAGCTAAATAAAGGGATTTATTATTTTATCTAGATCAAAATTGTACAGGTAGAGAAAGAAATAATTAAAGAACCAGTTGTTAGCATTCTGTTCTCTGCACTTAGGTACCCACTATGTGTTGGATAGGTTGTAATTTCAATGGTGTTTTTATACCCAATGCAAAATGCACATTAAAGTTTAAATGAAGGGCTAATACAGTGACTCAGGCATAATTCTTAACTTGTCACATAGTGAAACATCAAGGCATCCCCAATTATAGTTCTCCTAAGGAGGTATGAACTGATCTTAAAAGAAATTGTGGTTTGCCATAGTGTTTGTTAATAAAACCTGTGCTTCCTCTCATTACAGGGCTCTATTCTAGCCCACTTGCCGTACACAGGCTTCCATGGAGGCTGTGTCGCTCTGTCTTTTGAGCGCCTGAGATCTCAGTTTGAATCCAGCCCACATGGAATGACTAAATCTCTAGTGATAGTGTGCCACTTTGCAAAACTTCCTTGTATAATTCCAGATAGAAGCTGTTTCTGAAGCTGCAAGACGCACTGAATCACCTCGCTCCCCACCTCACAGAAAGCAGGGGATACTGTGGAAGAAGGAGTTTGGGGAGGGCTGGGAAGCAGTTGAAAGCATCAGCTGCTGCTGTAGGACATTGATTTCATGACCAAAGGATAGGGTGCCTCCAAACCCCAAAAATGTAAATAACACCAGCCTTTATAATAAAAATCAGGTTTCATTACAGAATGGCTTGGGTGAAAAGGTTCTGAAATCAAGTAACAAACAGCTCTGAGTTAATGTTAGCACCAAGTTTGCAGGGCTTTAGTATTCTAATTGCTCGCAGTATGACTGAACTGAACTGTGGGCTTGTAATTTACTTTTTAGATTAAATGTGGTTTATACAGTATATAAAAATATGCTAATTCTTTCTGTTGGGTAGCTCTTCCACATTGTAATGCGAAATCTGATTATTCCCCCCCTCTCCCTTAACATAGCAGGATAGTCTTTTCATTTCCAGTATACTACTCCAGCATTATACCTCTGTTCTGTAATTATAATGTTCTGTTTACTCCTTGTGCTCACTACCAGCCTATGTTGTTTTTTTTAAAGTGTCTCCTCTCTAACTTTTAGGATTCTTATCTTCTAAACTCCCTCTTTATACCCCACCCCCTCCCCTTCTACTTTTCTTTCTTGACAGATGTCTGTGTAATAGTTTTAGGTTTCTGATGTTTTTTACAAAGTTTAAAATATGTAACACTAGTTGTTCTTTAATATCATTCAGGAGGGGAGGCAGTATTTGGGGAAAGGCACTTCAGGCTTACGCTTCTTTTTCTATTAATGGCCAGCGGAGAGGAACCAGCAGATGTTATGTAAAGGTGCCTTTTAAAAAAAATTAAGCAAAATTAACACTAATTATCTCGATTGACCATGGGTACTAAGAACATGTACCACTTTAGTTGCTGTCATGATTTCAATTACAGCATTGTAACTTATGGTTTTAAATTTTATTGAGTGCTTGTGCTGATTTTTTTTTTTACTTGGTGGCCTGCCCCCCATGAATGCAAAAGGCTTTTTTGCAATTTACTCCTAACCTATCCACTGTGTATTAGACAACTCTATTAATTATTATAGACTGTTATTGCAGCTTTCCTGACCTTCACATTGGGTCCTATCTGTGCTGATCTAAATGCATTGTTTTAATGATTTCCAAAAAAAGAAAAAGAGAGGGGGAAAGAAAAAAAAAAAAAAAGAAAAAAATTCAAGGCAAGCTTTGATGTGGCTTTAGCTGCCTCGATCGTCTG